GAGTTAGTGAGGATGAGCATTTGGGGAGAGTGCTCCAGGCAAAGGAAATACCATTTGCAAAGGCCTGTGGGTAGAAAAGAGCAGAAAGGGGGTCAGCATAGCTGGGGTATAGAAAAAGTGGTAGAAAAGTAATGGGGTGATGGAGAGGTACATAGCATCACATCATGCAGGACACTGAGGACCACTGCAAAGAAACGGTCCTCTTGAGTGCAGTGGGAGCCACTGAGGATATAAAGCAGGGGAGTTATGGGATATGATTTGCAGTTTTGAAAGATGACTCTAGATAATGGGCATGGTGTTTCTTTATGGGGTGATGAAAATGTTCTAAACTTAGAATGTCACGGTTGGACAACTCTGTGAATATATTTAAAAAAAAATTGTGGACTTCCCAGGTGATCCAGTAGTTGGGAGTCTGCCTGCCAATGTAGGGAACATGGGTTTGATCCCTGGTTTGGGAGGATTCCACATGCCGCAGGACAACTAAGCCCACGCACCAGAACTACTGAAGCCCACGAACCCTTGCTTTGCAACAAGAGAAGCCACCACATTGCAACTGGACAGTAAGCCTTGCATGCTACAACTAGACAAAGCCTGTGGGAAGCAATGAAGACTCAGTGCAGCCAAAAATTAAAAAAAAATGGTATGGCATGTGAATTGTATCTCAGAAAAACTATTGGCAGGGAGAAAAAAAAATATCACTCTTACTGTGGTGAGAGTGACCAGACAAAGGCCAAGAGTATAGCCAGGGAGATCAGTTGTATTCATCAGATGACTAGGGGACATCAGATGAACAAAGTGATGCCTATGGACATAAGGCAGGATGTGGTGAATGCCGGGTGAGGTGGGAGAGGAAGGAGGACTCCTTATAAAATTATTCCTAGCATAGGAGTAAGACTATCTTGGAAGTGTATAAATTGGACTGTGTCACCGTACACCTGGAGCCTTCAGCGGTTTCCCTCTGAAGTAGAAGGAACCCCTCCCTGCTCATCTGGCCTTGGGGCTGCCACTCCTGCTTTGGAGTCTCCCACCCTCAAAGTCTTCCCTCTGCCAAATCACCCTCTTCTAACCAGGCCTGATCCACCTGTCAAATCCCAGTTTGAGTGCCACTTTCTCAGCAACTTCCTTACCCCTCAAATTACATGAGGGGCTCTTGCCATGATACACAGCACTTGGCAGAGTCTGTAGTCATGGACTGAATTGCATGTTTATTAAGTTTTGCTCGTCTCCCCCTCTAGACAGGGCGCTCCCAGGGCAGGGATGTTGCCTCCTGGGATCACGGCTCTAGGGCTCACCATTCGCTGGGTGAACAAACTCATGAACAGAATCCATGTGTGAAAGCTGGGAAGCAGTGGGTGAAGGAACCTTTCAAAGGGAGGATGAAATTAAAAAGACTCAAAAATGTAAGGGGCAAACCAGAGAATGAGAGAAAATATTTGCAAATCATTATCTGACAGGGGATTAATATCCAGAATATATAAAGAACCCTTAAAACTCAACAACAGAAAAACCAAACAACCCAATTCAAACATGGACAAAGGACATGAATAGACATTTCTCCAAAGGAGATATACAAATGGCCAATAAGCACATGAAAAAAATGCTCAGTGTCTCTAAACATTAGGGAAATGCAAATCGAAACCACAGTGAAATACTACTTCACACTCTTTAGGACAGTTACTGTCAAAAAACAAAAATAAACCCATAAAATAGCAAGTGTTGGTGAGACTAAAGAGAGACTTCGAAGCCCCATGTATTGCTGAGAGGGATGTCAAATAGTTCAATCTAGGAATGGAATTGCTGAATCATATGGTAATTTTTTTATATGGTAATTTTATGCTTGACTTTTTGAAGAACTGCCAAACTGTTTTCCATACAGACTGAAAGAATAGAAAGCAGAAAATCAAAATGATAGTTGCACATCAAAGTTCAAAGTAGCACTATTTACAATAGCTAAAAGGTGGAACCAATACTTGAATGAATTAATGGGTAAGCAAAATGAAGTGTATATATATATGTATATATATGTATATAATATATATACACAACAGAATGTTATTCAGCTTTAAAAGGAAGAAAACTCTTGAGGACATGGATAGGCCTTGAAAACAGTGTTACGTGAAATAAACCATACTCAAAAGGACAATTACCAAATGATTCCACTTATGTCAGGTACTGTAAAAGGCAAATTCCTGGAGATAGATAGTAGAACAGAGGTTACCAAGGGCTGAGGAGTTAAGCATGTAAATGGTACAGAATTTCAGTGGAGAAGATGAAAAAGTTCCACAGATAAGAGAGTGGAAATACTCGCACAACATTGTAAATGTACTGAATACCTCTGAATTGTACATTTAAAACGGTAACTTTCATGTTATGTATATTTTATTATAATAAAACATTTTAAAAGGTAAATAATGTTATTAGTTGGGCTCAGCTCAGTAAAGAATCTGCCTGCAATGCAGGGGACTTGCAGGAGACAAGTTTGATCCCTGGACTAGGGAAGATCCCCTGGAATAGAAAATGGCAACCCACTCAGTATCCTTGCCTGGAGAATTCCAAGGACAGAGGAGCCTGGTGGGCTATAGTCTGTGGGGTCACAAAGAGTCGGACACGACTGAGAGACTAAACAATAACAACAAAGACACTAGTCATCAGTACATTTTGAATTCATGGCTGAAGGATTCAACCACAGTGAGTGTCCTGGCTGAAGCTGTGGGAAGCTTCAATATTCAGTAATCAGAATATTTTCAATATTCAGGGCCAATACCTTGAAGGTTCAAAACCAATGGCAGTCACATTCTGCCCAAAGGAGACATGCTGAGTGAACTGAAGACAGGGTGTTAGGATCCCCTTTCCAGGTGGCCCCAGAAGCTGACTTTACTCCATCAGGAGTGCCAGCCCCTCCCCTTGGCCAGGCCGCTGGGCCTCCCTGTGGGGGCTGGCTGTTGGGGACCCCTTTGTTTTTCTGTCCCATGTAGAAAAAGCAAATGTATCAGAATATACAGAGTGGTTGAGATGGTTTCAAAGCCCGCACCAGATGTTGGAAGAGCTCTTATTTATGATTATGCTGACGAAAGGGTCGAGCCATGCTGCACCGGGTTGGGGTGGGCTTGAGACTCTGTACCTAGGTACTCACAACTGAACCACAGTCCCTATCTTTATAGTTTCCAGCTTCAAAGTGGGGTTGCCTGATCCCCATCATGTTCTGAAGCAGTTAATGCTATGGTATTAAGAGGATGGGCGGAAACACATCCTAATGTTCTCAGTCCTTACCACTCAGAAAATGGTCAAGTTTTAAAGCTACAAGTAATGTGTTTAGTATTGACAACTGAAAAGCAGAGAAGAGGAACTTCCCTGGAGGTCCAGGGGTTAAGAATCCCCACTCCCACTGCAGGGTGCATGGGCCCAATCCCTGGCTGGGGAGCTAAGAGTCTGTGCGCAGCTCTGTGCATGGCCAAAAAAAAAAAAAAAAAGAGAGAGAGAGAGAGAGAGAAAATACACAGGAGAAGAAGAAAAAACTTACCCATGCTCCTTTCACCTAAAGTCCCTGTAAACATCTTGGATTATATCTTTTCCATATATGTATAGTTTCTTTCCTATGCATGTGCATAATTATATTTTCAGGATGTTGAACCATACTGTATTATTGCTTCATAAGTGAAGTTGCTCAGTCGTGTCCAACTCTTTGCGATCCCACGACTGTAGCCTACCATGCTCCTTCATCCATGGGATTTTCCAGGCAAGAGTACTGGAGTGGGTTGCCATTTCCTTCTCCAGAGCTTCTTCCCGACCCAGGGATCAAACCCGGTTCTCCCACATTGTAGGCAGACGCTTTACCCTCTGAGCCACCAGACAAGTCTTAATAATGCATAATAATGTTTCACTGGTTTTTTCCATTCAACAAATATTGTAAATGTCTTTCCAAAAACATACTTTTAGTCACCATTTTTAATAACTGCAAAGTATTCTATTACACAGATCAGTTTTTCTCAACATTTTTTTCTCCCTGACGTGAAATATTAATAGCATAGGTACACTGTACCTCTTATTTAGATACTGTGGCCAAAAACCATTGTAATAGCTTAGTCATATTCTCTCCTCCTCACACTCAAGAACCAATTTTGCCCCTGGTGACGATGCATGATAAAGTTGTACCAATATACCACTTGACATTTAGGTTGCTTCTAAAATTTACCTATTTCATGCTGTGATGAACATTCTTGTAAATATAAAACTGTGCAAAAGTGGAAATGGAATGTATGAGTCAAATGGGGTGTATTTTTTTTTTCAAACTTTAAACTTTTTATTTTGTATTAGGGTATAGCCGATTAACAATGTGTGGTAGTTTCAGGTGAATAGTGGAGGGACTCAGCCATATGTGTATCCATTCTCCCCCAAACCCCCTCCCAAAGATGTGTATTTTTTAAAGACTTTGAATATATATTGCCAATAGCCCTCCAGTGTATCAGTCCAATGTGCATGGAATCCCACATCTTGGTGACTTCAGCCAAAACACCCTCTATTCTCCTCTAGGTCTGTTTGCAATTGAGGGCAAGCAGCATCATTCACCATGCTTGTCCCATCTGAGTCCTCTTCACACCCGGCAATAATTTTCCTTTTCAAACAAGTCCTATTGTGCCCTGCTGAAGACCTGCGAAAGCCTTCCGTGTCTGGAGTTATGACCACTGCCAAGGCGTAGATGGTCTTTCAGGATTGGGCCTTGCCTACCACTGTGACCTTACCTTGGATTATCTTCTTCCTGTATTCCATTTCCTCTCCAGTTTTCTCAAACCCATTAAAACTGGATAATGGAGTGTGTTACTTACCTTGACTCTTAGCTTGTTGGGGACTGTGACCAGGACCGGTGACTACTTCTGTTGCCTGCTGGTCCGTATCCCCCATGTGAGTGCATCTCCATCTGCGCTGGCCAGGCTGGTGTCCAGATCCACTGTGCCTGCTCGGAGCTCTACTGCCTGGAACACGGCATCCAGCCTGATGGCCAGATGCCAAGTGACAAGACTGTTGGGGGACAGGACTGCTTCAACACCTTCTTCAGCGAGACAGGTGCTGGCAAGCATGTGCTCAGAGCTGTGTTTGTAGACTTGGAACCCAGAGTCATTGATGAGGTTCACACTGGCACCTACCGCCAGCTCTTCCACCCTAAGCAACTCATCACTGGCAAAGAAGATGTTGCCAATAGCTATACCCGAGGTTATGACACCATTGGCAAGGAAATCACTGACCTTGTCTTGGGCCGAATTTGGAAACTGGCTGACCAGTGCACAAGTCTTCAGGGCTTCTCAGTTTTCCACAGCTTTGGTGGGGGGACAGGTTCTGGGCTCACCTCCCTGCTGATGGAATGTCTCTCTGTGGATCATGGCAAGAAGTCCAAGCTGGAGTTCTCCATTTACCCAGCCCCCCAGGTTTCCACAGCAGCAATTGAGCCCTACAACTCCATCCTCACCACCCACACCATCCTGGGGCACTCTGATTGTGCCTTCATGGTAGACAATCAGGCCATCCATGACATCTGTCGTAGAAATCTTGATATTGAGTGCCCAACCTACATGAATCTTAACCTCCTTCTTAACCAGATAGTGTCCTCCATCACTGCTTCCCTGAGGTTTGATGGAATCCTGAATGTGGATCGGACAGAGTTCCAGACCAACCGGGTGCTGTATCCCCACATCCACCTCCCTCGGGCCACATCTGTCATCTCTGTCATCCCCTGTCATCTCTGCTGAGAAAGCCTACCATGAACAGCTTTCTGTAGCAGAAATCACCAATGTTTGCTTTGAGCCAGCCAACCAGATGGTGAAATACAACCCTCGCCATGGTAAATACCTGGCTTGCTCCTCCTGTTGTACTGTGGTGATGTTGTTCCCAAAATGTCAGTGCTGCCACTGCCACCATCAAGGCGTCCAGTTTGTGGGTTGGTGTTCCACTGGCTCCCAGCTCAGTCAGCTCAGCCGCTCAGGCGCGTCCGACTCTCTGCGACCCCATGAACCGCAGCACGCCAGGCCTCCCTGTCCATCACCAACTCCCGGAGCTTAGTCAAACTCATGTCCATCGAGTCGGTGATGCCATCCAGCCATCTCATCCTCTGTCGTCCCCTTCTCCTCCTGCCCCCAATCCCTCCCAGCATCAGCGTCTTTTCCAATGAGTCAACGCTTCACATGAGGTGGCCAAAGTATTGGAGTTTCAGCTTCAGTCCTCCCAATGAACACCCAGGACTGATCTCCTTCAGGATGGACGGGTTGGATCTCCTTGCAGTCCAACGGACTCTCAAGAGTCTTCTCCAACACCACAGTTCAAAAGCATCAAATTTTCGGCACTCAGCTTTCTTCATAGTCCAACTCTCACATCCACAATGACCACTGGAAAAACCATAGCCTTGACCAGACGGACCTTTGTTGGCAAAGTAATGTCTCTGCTTTTTAATATACTATCTAGGTTGGTCATAACTTTCCTTCCAAGGAGTAAGCGTCTTTTAATTTCATGGCTGCAATCACCATCTGCAGTGATTTTGGAACCCAAAACAATAAAGTCTGACACTGCTTCCACTGTCTCCCCATCTATTTGCCATGAAGTGATGGGACCAGATGCCATGATCTTAGTTTTCTGAATGTTGAGCTTTAAGCCAACTTTTTCATTCTCCTCTTTCACTTTCATCAAAAGGCTTTTTAGTTCCTCTTCACTTTCTGCCATAAGGGTGGTGTCATCTGCATATATGAGGTTATTGATATTTCTCCCAGCAATCTTGATCCCAGCTTGTGCTTCTTCCAGCCCAGCGTTTCTCATGATGTACTCTGCATATAAGTTAAATAAGTAGGGTGACAATATACAGTCTTGATGTACTCCTTTTCCTATTTGGAACCAGTATGTTGATCCATGTCCAGTTCTAACTTTTGCTTCCTGATCTGCATTTGGTTTCTCAAGAGGTTAGCATTAATTACCAGCCTCCCACTGAGGTACCTGGTGGAGACTTGGCCAAAAAAAAGTGAGCTATGTGCATGCTGAGCAACACCACAGCCATCGCTGAGGCCTGGGCTTGCCTGGACCACAAGTTTGACCTGATGCATGCCAAGCATGCCACGGTTCACCGGTACGTGGGTGAGAGCATGGAGGAAGGAGAGTTTTCTGAGGCCTGTGAGGACATGGCTGCCCTCCAGAAGGATTATGAGGTTGTGTGGATTCTGTTGGAGAGGCAGAGGAAGAAGCAGAGGAATACTAATTACCATTCCTTTGAGCCCTATAGCATGTCATATTCAGAGCTTCAGCATTAGCTAGCTGAGAGGCATAAAAACTTTGACTACATTGTCCTCGCTTTCAACGGTGATCACGGGTTGCTTTTCCATGTGTATCTGTAAGACTCCTGTCCTGTCTCAAAAGTAGATTTTTAAGAAAAAACAAAAAACAAAACCCCCAAAACTGGATGTGGCTTCTACACCATTGCAGGGGCTAAAACATGTTTTACTTGTATCTACCCATGGTGGTACTCAGACAGACCTGTGCTGTGAGGACAACTGGGATCAGACAAGGTGAGGACTGGAGGCAACAGGAATGGTCCGTTTCTGCAGTGCTGCAGGAAACCAGGAATTATCACTAGCCTCGAACATCACTAGTGTCATATGAGCACACGGGGTGACCCACCTCGGGGGAAGCCATAACGGTTATCTGCTTAGCTTTGGGAGAATTAAGCGGGAACCTGCTCGAGAGAGGAAGTCGGGCACGCATCGGCGGCTCAACCTGCGCTCACGAGGCGCCCCACTCTCGTGCGAGCGCCCCGCCGGCTGACCCGAGGCGGGGGTCGCAGGGGGGGAGTTCGTTAGGGCAAAAGCGGGATACGGGACTGAGGCACGGGCACGGAGACCCCGCGTGAGTCCAAGCCCCAGGCCCAACGGCGGCAGGTAAGGGGCAGTGGCGGCGCGAAGGCCTCGGATGCGCTCCGGGAACCGCGGAGGTGGCTTCGGGCGCAGAAATACGCCCTTCCGCAGCGCCCGGTTGGTCACGGACTGAATCTAGGGAAGAAGAGGAATACTGGCGGCGCGAGGGCGGGGAACCTCTGTACCTCCAGGTCGGTCAGGACTGCGGATAACACGCTAGGGACACCTCATCACAACCCAGAGCCCGAAACTGTTACACAGTTCCTATAAAGAACTGGCCGCCGCCATTCCCCTCCCCCTTCTGACGGGTAACTAGAGAGCAGTTTGAAAGAAGACGCACGCGCGAGAAACTAAATTAAACCGCTAAGGCTCGCTAATCGCGGTAAGGCGCAGGCGCAAAACAGCCCAGCGAATTTAAGGAGGTGGGCGGGGCTGAACCAAATACGCATGCGAATAATAATTAGCTGGCTGGAGTGGGCCGGCTCGTAAAACTACGCATGCGTCCGAGCTCTGTGTGACGCAAGAGGGCGGTGCGGGCACCTGGGTGCGCGTGCGCAGAGCTTGTTCAAAGGGCCTTATTTAGGTTGCGCAGGCGCCCACTAGCCATTTCGTTTCTGCCGCGCCGAAGTTGTGTGAGCAGGTGAGTGTTTGTTGTTCGCTGTTTACCACCCAGCGTCCCCCGAGGCTGTCAGTTTTGTGAGGATTGCTTGCCCCTAGGTCTGTGTAGAGCGTGAGGGTCTTTGGCAAGGTGCAGGCTGCCGTTAGGAGCCAGGAACGGTTCGCCGAGTTGCGGCAGGCCGCTGAGGCCTACAGGCCGCGCCGACTCTATTGTGTGAGATGTCGGAGGAGGCGGAGCGGAAGCGACCGCCGCCATTTCCTAGCCTCCACGCTGGCGCTAGGCCGGGTTCCCCCTCGGCTTGAGGCCACGATAACTGGTGCGCAGAGCGGCTTCGGGCGTCCGGCTGCTGGCAGGTGGGGCACTCGTTGTTACATTCGCCGGGGTCGGAACGTCCTCACGGGCTCGACCCATCCTGAGGCTCCGCGGGCATTCGGGCCGTCTCGAGAGCGGAGGGCAGTTTCTTTTTAACGTTTCTCCAGGTCTGACTGCCATCCCCCGTCTTGCAGTCTGATTCGACGCCACCCACTGAGAGACGATGATGTTGGGCACCGAAGGCGGTGAGGGGTTCGTGGTGAAGGTCCGGGGCTTGCCTTGGTCTTGCTCTGCAGACGAAGTGCAGCGGTTTTTTTCTGGTGAGTCTGAAACAGAGGCTGGAGTTAAGCACCCGAGGCCGCAGGACGGGCGAGCGAGGAGGCGACAGCGACAGCGGCGGGGCCGAGCCCGTGGCGCCCCCTAGTGGGGCGCGGGCGGCAGCTGTTCCCGTTGTCCAGCGCGCCCAGCCGGCTGCGGTTACGCAATGGAAATTGCGGAAGCCCCACCCGGCCGGCGCTCCTAGGGGGAATGCGGCCTCTGGCGGAATTTTTGTTTATCTTTTAAAGTATTTTTCTGTGGATGTCTTTTCTTAGAAAGGATAAATGGGGATAGACCGGATTTTCCCCGGAATCTTGGAAAAATTTGCCGAGCAGCTGAGCAAATACCTTACAAATTTAAACTGCTAACACTTTTCAAATTTGGGTATTGATTTGAAAAGGGGCATTCTGTTTCGGAAAAAGAAAATATCGCTTCTTAATTTAAGACAGTTTTCCTAATCAGGGTTTGGTATTTGAAGAGTTCGTGGTCTGGCTCACTTTACAGTTGAGGGCACTGAAACCCAGGAAAGTTTTCTTGCCTGTGTAGCTTTTTTCCAGTATGTAGGTTTCCTTGAATGTCTGCCAAATGCCCTTGTTCTCATTATTAGTGTAAGATTAGACTGAAAGATAATATTTGGAAGAAATTTACAGGTTGAAAGGATATTTGTAGTATTGACTTACTATCTGAATTTAGTGTATGTAACGGAAAACGACTTGTAAAACAAGAAGCAAGTACATTGGAAGCCACCTTGCAGTGAGCAAGACTGGGTTTGGCTTCAGCTGTGCGTTTGGAGCATTTTAGCTTGGTAACATTGATCCCCTTTCAGGTGAGTATTGGCCCTGCAGTTCGGATTTGAGCACGAAACTGTGATGTTGCTTCTAGTAAGGTAAAACTATCAGATACCCCGAATCAAAAGTCCAAACCAAGTGTATTCAGAAAAGACCATAAAATCACAAAGTCCAGATTGAAAAATGTGCTGAGGAGTTATTATTAAAAGTATGTTTAATGGACACACTTGAGTAATGAGTTGGAGATAAGTTCGGTAAGAAACGGCTTTGAATAATTGGATTTTCTTGATGGATTGGGAATGCATTTAGGGTAATAAGAAAGTTTGGTAATGAGGGGAAAACTGCTTAATTACTAAGACACCTTAGGAGTTAGTAATAATGTTGCTCATTCTAGATTTTACAAATGATTTGCTTTGTAGTGGGGGTATGTATAGGCATTTCATCTGTATCACCCAGAGGTGGTTTTTAGTTTTAAATTCTGTATTAACGGTTGTTTTCTTTCCAGACTGCAAAATTCAAAATGGGGCTCAAGGTATTCGTTTCATCTACACCAGAGAAGGCAGACCGAGTGGCGAGGCTTTTGTTGAACTTGAATCAGAAGATGAAGTCAAATTGGCCCTGAAAAAAGACAGAGAAACTATGGGACACAGATATGTTGAAGGTTTGATTTACATTGCCCTAGTAACAGTAAATAAAACATTAAACAAATAGAAATCTATCTTACCCCTTCTGAATTTTAGGTATTTGACCGCATGGAAATGGTCATCTAAGAGTTTATGGCAGCTCTTCCTAGATTATCTAAAGACCCAGGAAGTCTGAACGTTGTTCTATAAGTTTCCGAAGTTGACTAATTCTAAGCACCTCTTTCAGTATTCAAGTCAAACAACGTTGAAATGGATTGGGTGTTGAAGCATACTGGTCCAAATAGTCCTGACACGGCCAATGATGGCTTTGTACGGCTTAGAGGACTCCCCTTTGGATGTAGCAAGGAAGAAATTGTTCAGTTCTTCTCAGGTATGTGTTTGTTGTTGAGCAGTGAGTTCTGGCTAGCAGCTGGCAACATGTGAATGAATAGACTTAAGAGTTGAGAAGCTTAGATATTTAAATAGGTTGTGAGTATATGCAGATGTTTTCTTCTTCCTGGAGACCTTCAAATAATTTAAGCCCATCTTAAAGGTGGATTAATTATTTCCAAAATGCTAACTTTGCTTATATTTAGTATTGTAGTTCAGAGTAGATCTTTGAGGATTGTCCTCAACAACTTAACTACTTTTCCTCACATTGCTGTTCAGCAAAATACTTCAAGTTAAAGGTAAGATCCCTTAACATTAGAATAGTATGTTAGGCTGTTGTAATTTATGGCAGGTGTCTATATTGTAAGACACAGTAGGTACTGGGGCCAGAAATGTCTCTAGTGATCTCATTCTGTTTATGCAAGAAAAAAACATAAGGAAACAATTGGTTTTAGCCAGGGAATTAAACTTGCTGAGAGGAAGTGTAGGAATGTAGTTTTAGTATCTGAAGTACAGAAAGTGTTTTGAAATTGTTTTGGGCCTAAAGTATTTGAATGTTTAGCAGAATGTTAGAGTGTATATTTTAAATATTGTTGCTTAATATTCATGATGTTATAAATTGGAATTAACAAATCCTTTCATGGTTTAGTGTAGTATGTATTAAAATTTTGACTATTAGATATGTATCAAGTCCTAATGTTTTGCCAGAATTTTTGAAATCAAGTCTATTTTTACTGTTTTTGTCTAAATTGGTGAGAATTGAATGCTATCTGTCAACATCGTTAAATATGAACATAATTTCATATCTTCTAGGAAAGTGCTTTAAGTCCTTTTTGTAAGCTTGGGAATGTATCCACGGAAAGGATTTTTCATAGACGGAATTTCCAGAAGTGAATCATACTACTGTTAGAGAATAAGAGTGCATGATTGTGCTGTGTTAGATCAGTTGTTTGTTGAAAGCTTAGATTGTTATGTTTGTCAATTGTATGACTAAGCAATGTTTCAATCTGTATATAAAATGTTTAAATATGTAATTTTTTAAAATTGAAGTTCCACTAACTTTAAAACATTGAAAAATATGAAATGAGGTAAAAGGTGTATCTTTGAATTTAGCAAAACTATTGTATTTAATGCTTGAAAATGTGTATAATTCTTGTATAATTCAACATTAAGTTGCATAGATAAATAAGTGTTCTTAATTGTTGAATTCTTAATGCATCCTGTGTTCAAAGTTTTTTCTTGTATACCATGTCATGGGATGTGTTAAGAATTGAGTTATAGTTTGTAATAATGGAACTTCATATTACTGCAATGCTTTTTTAAAGAGTACTTGTTGAAAGCATACCATTCACCTAAAGTTAAAATTCTGGTTTATTTAAAGCTATAAGAAGAATCATTTCTGGGCTTGTGATGTTAATATTGCCCCCCTACTGGGGTTATTTGTCCTTGGGTTGAAGGGTTGGAAATCGTGCCAAATGGGATAACATTGCCGGTGGACTTCCAGGGGAGGAGTACGGGGGAGGCCTTCGTGCAGTTTGCTTCACAGGAAATAGCTGAAAAGGCTCTAAAGAAACACAAGGAAAGAATAGGGCACAGGTGGGGATGGATGGTTGGTTGGATTTGTCACTTTTCTTATGGTAAACAATTAAATCCATATTCTCTCTGCTTAGAATCAAGGGAAAAAAAATCTGATTTCATAGTCTATTTGATATTTTGCCACAATTTCCAAACTTTTCCAGTGTCAAAGTCCGATAGTACTTTGAGATTAAATTTTAGATTTAAAAATTGTCCCCAGTTAATTTGATCTACTTCACAATTTTGTAAGATTCCTAATTAACCCCAGTCAGTGGAGTTGAGAGACTATGGTTTTAAAAATGTTAATGCAAACCTGGCTTTAGCTGTAATAACAACCACCTAGTAAATTATTATTACCATAAGAAAATGTGATACTTTCTGATCTTGTTTTTAAAGTTGAAATGCAACAAACTTTCTTGCTGTATAAATATTCTGCATATGTATTAATAAGCATAGCTTTCAAGAAATTGTCACAAAAGGTTTTATTCTCTTTGCTTGTGACTATTTTTCATTGAAGCATGCGCTTACCTATGCTGATTCCTACTAAAAGCATAGGCTGGGGAATTTATTGGCGGAAGGAGATGTGTAGTGTGGGCTAGACTGTTGGTGGAGGCTGGCTTTTTAGCCCACTTGCTATACATGATGCCAATGGATTTAAGACATGAAATGTTGAAAGTTGAGTGGAATTCTTTCCCTCCTAAGACATTTACAGTGCTCCTCTCTACCCCTAAGGTTGGGCGCTCTGCCTCAGAGGAGGACATTTTTCTCCTATAAAGTTTACATTAAATCTTAAAATTGAGTGAATTTCTGGTCATTGCCTATGCAAATATAAGAAATCTGGCTTTAAATATTAGTCAGTTTCATGGCTATGACTTCATTGTTTTCTTGTGTAACTAAATACCTGTGTGAAATGAACTAATCTTTTCTCTCCCTTCCCCACCCCCCTTCCTCATGAACAATGCTGTAGGTATATCGAAATCTTTAAGAGCAGTCGAGCTGAAGTTAGAACTCACTATGATCCACCACGAAAACTTATGGCCATGCAGCGACCAGGTCCTTATGACAGACCTGGGGCTGGCAGAGGGTATAACAGCATTGGAAGAGGAGCTGGCTTTGAAAGGATGAGGCGTGGTGCTTATGGTGGAGGTATGTGGACTGTGCAAGTGTCATGAGGTCTGCTCTTTATGAGTGTTTTCATGTAGTGATAGTACTTTTTGTCTTTCAGGTTATGGAGGCTATGATGATTATAATGGCTATAATGATGGCTATGGATTTGGGTCAGATAGATTTGGAAGAGGTAAGGTAAGAATTGAATTTCTCTTCTGAGGGATACTTACACTCTTGTTCATCTAGACCTCAATTACTGTTTTTCAGGAATGTCAGATCACAGATACGGGGATGGTGGCTCTACTTTCCAGAGCACAACAGGACACTGTGTACACATGCGGGGATTACCTTACAGAGCTACTGAGAATGACATTTATAATGTAAGTGGAGGATAGATTGATAAATTGTCTATTTCAGTATAGCAGTAAAAACATGGTTGTTATTCTACTTAAGTGAAGCAGCATGTTAAAATTATGTTTCTTGTAACAAGGTTTGATTTTGATTCTTTGAAATACCTTGTATTTAGTTTTTTTCACCACTCAACCCTGTGAGAGTACATATTGAAATTGGTCCTGATGGCAGAGTAACTGGTGAAGCAGATGTCGAGTTTGCAACTCATGAAGATGCTGTGGCAGCTATGTCAAAAGACAAAGCAAATATGCGTAAGTGCGATTTAAGGATTTTGGGGTCTCTTTACAGATAGTATGTGACTAATGATTATAACAGGAATACTGAGGATGTGGAAATTTTTTAATCCAGTGATAGGGTTCTGTGGATCTTTAAAAAGTTCTTGGGTGGTATGACTAAAACACTGACTTATGATAAGAACACTGACTTAAAGTGTATGCTTGATTGACAGACTAAAGTGATGTAGATGAATGCTTGACTGCTTTTTAAAACCTGCATGAAGTAAATCACCTGAGAACAAGCAGCTAGAATTTTTTTACTAAAAGTAATAAGTTCACAGATCAACTTAAAAGAACTTAAAAGCGCTTATCTTTCTTTCACCAACAAACATTTTCAAACTTTTTTTTTCTCATTTCAGAACACAGATATGTAGAACTCTTCTTGAATTCTACAGCAGGAGCAAGCGGTGGTGCTTACGGTAGCCAAATGCTAGGAGGCATGGGTTTGTGTAAATATCACTTTAGTGTCTTTTTTTTAAGCTAACCTTGTATGCCTTTTCTCTCATTTCAGAACACAGATATGTAGAACTCTTCTTGAATTCTACAGCAGGAGCAAGCGGTGGTGCTTATGGTAGCCAAATGATGGGAGGCATGGGCTTGTGTAAATATCGTTAGTTTTTTTAAAAACCAAAACATTTATATTTATATAAGTCAATTTATATAAGTTAAGTTAATTTATATATAAGGAGTTTAGCAAAATTTAGGCAAAGAAAAGTTTTGATTTGAATAGTATGCATTAAATGTGAGTTACATAAAATGCTTAGAATAGATAAGTTGGTTTGAAGTACTTTTGGGGGAGGGGACTGTAGAAAGAAACTAGTTGAATTGTTTAAGTATGAAGTATAAGCCTGAAGTATTTAGCAAAAAAGCACAGGATCAAAATAAATTGTTGGGTATAATTAGGTGTTCAGTGATACCTGTGTATTGAAACACCCTTAATATATGGAATCATGGGGGAAAATCCCATTAAATACAATTAAGCAGTTTCATAAGGTGTTGTCAGAATGCCTCTACTACTTAAGGAAACGTGGATTCAGTCCTGCTGATGTGTATACTTTTGGCCTTGTGGTTTTTAAGTGTTTGACTAGCTCATATGATGGATAGAAAGGTAGTCTGATCATAGGTAATAGGCAGAAGGTGGTACAGCGGGTTCTAGTGATGTTAAGATCAAGACTGGAAAATAATAGATTTAGAATTACAAGCCGGGTACCACCAGGTACCACATTACATAAGAAACAAGGTTCTAATGTTTTCTTAACTTAACAGCAAACCAGTCCAGTTACGGTGGCCCGGCCAGCCAGCAGCTGAGTGGTGGTTATGGAGGCGGCTATGGTGGCCAGAGCAGCATGAGCGGATATGGTAAGTGTTTTTTTTAATATAGTTAGAATAAGCTTCAGGCAGGTTTCTTTAGTTGGGAATGTTCAGGCTCCTTTTTTGGTAAAATTGGGTTATTAAATATATGTTCTTGATCCTAATATAAATATTCAAATAGCTTAATTTTCAGAAGCAATCATTGGGAGGGGGAAGTATTCTATGAATTCAAAATAGTCAATATTGCAACTTTGAATAATGTTGAGCCAGAAAACATCTGCCTCCGTTTGTTAAAACATTAAAGTCGTTCTCTTTTTCTGTCTTTTTGTTAGCAGTAAATCCATGTTAGATGGAGGGAGAATTTAGAATGGTGGTTGGGTTCAAGACCGTATTTACTAGTCAGTTAACGTAGGATTGGTTTTATTAATTAATTTTTTCAGTTGGTCTAAAGAATGGTGATTTTGGTATTATAGTCTTACCCTACAAAATCCTTTTGCAGACCAAGTTTTACAGGAAAACTCCAGTGATTTTCAATCAAACATTGCATAGGTAAATATTTTCTCAAAAAATATAATTTAAATTCCCAATAGCAAATACTGATATGTTGTAATAACACTTTCTATAGCAGTCAATGGCCCTTATTTAACTCCATGGAGGCTGCCATCTTGGGCACAGTGAGTTGCCTTTAGTCCAACTTTGTTGTCTCACTTCCTGCCCACCGTGAATAGGAGAAGCAAGAGACTGCCCCCGTGCTCCCTATTCATACATGCCATTTGATGGACACATTGCGAATGCTTACGGTAAATTTTTTTTAAAATGCTTTGTTTAGCTTTAAAACAACATGAAGTAATGTTGCAATTTTTGAAAAACACTAGTTTTCCTTTAAACTTTTTTCAACGTTGATCCTGAAGCGTCCAAATAATGGTAGCACAAGAGTCTGGCAAGTTGGTGCTGCAGAGAAAAGGGGTTCATTGAGACTTGCTTGGAGTCGGGAGCCCCTTTTCCCAAACATGCTTCTCGCCACTTGGACCGCAGCCATTTGCACTCGCACACTTTTAAGCCTCTTTGGGAATGCTTATTTCAGTTGACTGCTGACCTGGTGCTTGCCCTGACTTGCCGCATCGTCTCTCTGCAGGCAGCCAGGGAGCAGTGAGCAGCAGCTACTACAGTAGCGGGAGCCGAACGTCTGTGGGCGTGAACGGAATGGGAGGGATGTCTGGCATGTCCAGTCTGAGTGGTGGATGGGGGATGTGATCCATCCTGATCGCCGACCTTGGTCAATGGTTTTTAAAAGAAAAACTTACGTTTTAACAGTTTTGCAATACAAGCTTGTGATTTATGCTTACTCTAAGTGGAAATCAGGATTGTTTTAAAGACTTAAGGTTCAGTATTTTTGAACACAAATTCATCTAGGATGTAACAACTAGGTTGGGTAAACTATTACTGTTAAATAATTTTCAGCTTTTCTCAAGTTAGTTCTATTGTAGGATGTACTTAAGCAGTAAGTGTATTTAGGTTAAAGCAGTTGAATTATGTTAAATGTTGCTCTTACATCACATTACATTGAACACTGTCTGGATGCATGTTGAAAGACATGCTTTTTTGTAAAACTCAATATAGGAGCTGTGTCTACAATTAAAAGTGAAACATTTGGCATGTTTGTTAATTCTAGTTTCATTTAATAACCTCTATGGCACGTAAGTTTAAGCTTTCTTTTTTTTTAAGTTAATGGGGGAAATTTGACACGCAATACCAATACTTTAGGATTTTGGTCTTGGTGTTTGTATGAAATTCTGAGGCCTTGAGTTAAATTTTTCATTGTATTGTGGTTTTCCTTTTAGGTGTATTGCGCTAAGTGAAACTTGTCGAATAAATCTTCCTTTTAGAAACTGCACTTTGTCTGGTCTGTGCTTCAGTGTCATGTGGACTGTTTCTCGGTGCTTTAATGCTGCCTGGGGCGTAGGTGAACAGTGACCCGCGTCTGGCTGTGGCAGACAGGCTTGGCAGTTGTGGATGTTGTGTAGATGTCTTCAGACTCCTTCCAGTACAACTGAAGGTAAATTAAGCTTTGGGGGCCTGTGGAAGGTCTGTATGTTTGGCCTGGCTGCACAGGATGTGATCTGAATTGCCTTTGACCTGGTAAGCACTTGCACAAGGCCAAGGGGGAGGCAGAAAGCAGTGTCCTCGGTTACGCTCTGCATGCCTGTGGGAGCGTTTGAGCTTGGCTGAGGAAGTGCCAGAGGCACTCTGTGGCATCTTTTGAGTTTTGCTTCTATGAGGTACCTTCTAGAAGGAGCTAGCTCATAGAGGACTTTGAAATGAGATTCAGTCTTTTATTTTTGCTTCACTCCTCAAGATCAAGTCTGCTTAGGAGCAAAATTGCTTTAGAAAGTATAAAACTATCAGGTACTTCTGAGAACAAATGATTAGTTTAACTCTGTAACTGAAATCTTTATTGTAGGTAAAAATGGCGTTTGCTAGGAAAGTAGTAAGCAATACAGGTATAGTTCTAGAATTACCTTTAGACACTTAGCACTGGTAATTTGGGAATTTGCACTCATTCATCATCCCTCTAATAGAAATTTAAGTTTGCTGCATTGAGGTTAGAATTCAGAATTGGAGCTGTGAACATAGGCTTGTGCTGTTCAAAGCCATTTTTTTTTCTTGCTGACAGTGCTGAAGGTATGATTAGTATGGTGAATGTAGAAAAACTGCTTAGAATGATAGCACTTAAAAAAAAAAAAAAGAATGATAGCACTTCTTGAAGACTGCAGTTGGCAGCACTACACGAAGATATATTGAAGGACTCTGCAGATCCTCTTGCCCTTCCACATGCTCTGAAAACGGTGCATACCTTCAGTTGGGTTGGGGATACAGAAGTATTCTAATGTTACATAAATTGTCTTCTGCAGGCTCAGAATTTTCTGGGGATGCACTGTTAGAGCATTGGTGTTCTAAACCTAGTAATGCCCTTGAGATCTTTACTTGGTCTCTGTCTGGGGAAATCAGGCACAAGGAGTGTTCCTTCATCCTCCCTAGTCCTTTAGTTTTTTTTCTAAACAAAGAACATCTTTCTTGTTGAAGAAACTTGAAAAAATACCTAGAAACTTTGTTTCTTTGGAACACTGTACTCCATGGACCAGCATTATCACCTGAGAGTTTGTTAGGAAAGGTCCGAGTCTTCAGACTTGGTGTCATTTATCATGATCCTACAGTCTGCACTTAGGCTGGAGAAACACTGCCTTCTGTCTGTCCCTCGTCGCTTGTCCAAGTAAGGGGAAGTCTGCCAAGCCAGAAACAGGGCTCCAGAGTTCAGGTGCATAATGGGTATCTTAAATTCTTTCCATGCAGCTAGATACTTAGTCTCCAGCACTGGCATCCTCTGAAGAACGCTTGGGGCATAGGGGCAGGGACAGCTTTTAGAAATGAGGATGATAAAGGAAGAGCACTTGGTGTAGTGCTGTGAACTGTCAGAACTGTCTTGAAGGAGGGAGGTACCCCGTTCCCCTTCTGTGTGCAGATGAGACACAGGCTGAGATGTGACTTACCTAAGGCTCCCCAGCAGGTTGGAGTAAAAATTGGGTACACTGCTAGACCAGTTGGGGGAAGTGTGGTATGTGAACTTTGGGAAAAGCTGGGTCCTGAATGAGGTTAAGAAAGCTGCTCAGATTAAGTTAGGGAAGAGGAGAAAGTCCCTTTTTGCTGCCATGTGCTTCCTTAGTTCAGTTCACTCAGTCTTGTCTGACTCTTTGCAACCCCATGGACTGTAGCCTACCAGGCTCCTCCATCCGTGGGATTTTCCAGGCTATAGTACTGGAGTGGGTTGCCATTCAAAAATCTGCACTTTACGGAAAGAAGGTAGATTTGAAGCAGGGCACACAGTTCTGGACCTCACGTCACTGAACCTTCCATATTTCCCATCCATAACAGGTGTGTTTAGGGGAGCAGATGTGGAATCATCCAGGCTGTGGGTGTGCCTTGTGCTAGGACAGTACGGAAGGAAGAGAGCCAGGCTCTCAAGCAGAGGCTGGATAGCCACGGTCAGAACACTGGTGGGAGGTGGACATGGGCACTGGAAAGAGGCCTTGCATGCAGATGGACTGACCTGTCTGGATTATAGTGCTTGTTACACTTCTGTAACCTGAATACTCAAGGCCATTAACTGGTGGAGGGAAGTTAGGGGTGTGTGTGTGCGCGTGTGTGTGCAAGCATGTGTTCAGGTGGGAATCCAGAGGAAGGCTCTGAGCCAGTTTTCCACAGCCCACAAATACCTTGAAATCCAAAATGACTGCCTGGCAGTGTTTCCCTACAGGTGCCTCCATCTGTATTTAACTACACTAACTCCCTGTTAGATAAAGGAATACATTCTGAGCTTTGGTGAGATACTTCCGCTATGCCTGTTGAAATTTAACATCTCAGCTTATCCTTCATTCAGCTGGGCAGCAGCCTGCACCCCAGAACCCAGCAAGCTCAGGCCTCTACCTCAGGGGCAGCCACCCTCACTGAGGGCCTCTAGTCCTGAAATGGGGGTTGTCCTGGGCATCCTGTGAAGCTGACATAAGCTCCTTCATTATTTATACCAGAATGAAAAATAGAGTTTTATTGCAGGGCTAATGATGGATATTCACAAGGGTGTGAATTTCTTGACTCTGAAGCAGGGAAGGCATGCTGGGGTGGTGGGGAGGAAAAGGAACTGATTACTACAACTAGTTGGGTTGTTGGAAAAGAGGTTAATTCTTTGGAAATTGAAAAATGATAATAGCAAAATCATGAAGTTACATATGAACCAAAGCCGGTGGTGTCAAGTGAGAATGTCAATCCAGAGGAGTTGATTCCATACAACTTGGAGAGGAGAGGCACAAGCAGCTTCTGGTCCCGTGTGCTGCGTCCAGAGGGCCAGCAGCCCGGCTTGGGAACCAACCTTCCAAGTCCCTGACTAACTCAAGACGCAGAGTTTGGCACTGTTCTGAGGCTGCCCACAGACGTGAAGATCGGCTGGCAGCTGGTCTAGAAAGCAGACCCTGCTGAGGCCCCTGCCTTAGGAGCTGGTGGAGGAGGAGCACCGCTGCAGGAGCAGGGTGTGGCAGCTGTCACACACCCGGACTGGTCTGGGGTAGGAGGGCAGGGCCAGCTCATTACTGGAGCACGTGTTGCAGAAGATGTGGCCACAGTTCCGGCAGTGGTGCTGCAGGGTGGAGAAAAGGCAGTTGGAGAATCTGCTGTGCTGCCTGGGTCTGCACACCCGCTCTAGCTGACCAACCTTTAAAAGTTCAATACTCTAAAAATCCCTCCTCCAGAGGCTTGTATCATTTTGAAAGGGGTTCTTTTAGACCTCGTGTTTCTACATTTCTGTTCCTGTAAAATCCATGGAGTGTTGGAGCGGGTGTCCAATGGTATGAATAAGGTTCTTTTTCTTTGTGTTTTATTGGACTTGACAACTCTCTCAGTTGGCAGTCAATGATACGAGTGCCTGGGTATGTTCCCTATAATTGCTGCATTCCATGGTGGTGACCCAAGGTTTCTTTAGCCTGCCACTCATGAGAAGTCCTTTAATAAAGGCCCTCTATTTTGTGTGACATCTATATCTTGCCCTGCCCAACTGGTCAATCAAGGCCTGGTCAACCTTGGACTGAAGGCTGGGCCCAAGAACTGTTCCTGGAACCTGAAGGCGGGCTACACAGGCAGAGGTAGATTCACTGGGTGCAAGTGCCCTGCCCAGATTGCCACCTGGATGCCTGTCTTAAGACTTACTGCCCATAGGTTCCCTGTAGATTCTGGTTTTGCCTAACTAGGCCAGATTTTGGTCCTGTTGCTCTCAAAGAATTTTCAGCTTATACACACACACCTAGACCACTTCTGCAAATAAGCAGCCCCAACTCCCAAATCACTGACAGGACTGTGGTGGAAACAAGGCCTGTGCTAATGGGCTGAGGTCCCTGAAGGGGGGTAGGCTGGGAAGTCATCTGCCGGCAGACCAGTGAGCATGAACCCAATGCAGCGGGAATAGTCCTACGGGCCTTCTCCAGAACCAGGGCCCAGGCAGGGTACCAGCTTAGTCCCTGGGCGAGCAAGTGGAGGGCTACCCCACATACCTTTCTACGGGAAATGGAGAATTCCTTTTCACACTGCTTACAGTGTGTTGCTTCATCATCTTTCAGCCAAGTATGGCCCTGAGGAAGGAAGAACACACAATCCTATTTTATGGCTTGGCTCCCGATGAGCCTTTAGCTATGTTCATCCTTTAGCCCAGCATCCACCGTCCCTAATAGCACCTGGTTTGCTTTTGAGGGACTGCCTCTTCTGCACTAGAAGTGGTCCCAGGATTGTCCCCCGACCCTGACCACAGCTGGAGCTCATGTGCTGCAGCCTACCTGCCCTGTGGCCTCCTTGTCTCTGCAGGTTGCCAGATTCTCCATCCTCACATTAACCTGAGACTCTTCCAGTCCCTTTCACCAAGTGCCCTAGGACTGAGGTGATCAGAGTCAGGGTCTGGTGCTTGTAACTCCAACCCTGGCTGAGACATCATGCAAACTGCCCCCTAAACTGGCAGAAGGAAGACGGGCCAACCCTGGCAGCTAGACTAGAAAATTTGTGGCAGCAGTCCCCACTGAGAAAGAAGGCCAACGTGCTGCGGAGACGGGAGGTGCTTCTCCATACACACTGACGTCCTGATTGTCAGAGCTTCGTGGGGAAGCAGAGGAGGACACTGAAGCTTAGAGAGATGCCTTTCTGGAGGTCTTTCTAAGGGAAAACAGATATGCCTTTGCTCGTTTGGACTGAGCTGTTCAAAGGTCAAGCGCCCCAGGCACTTTAATGGCGCCTTGGCTTCTGTCGACTATTACTTTCCTGATGACACAGATAGGACTGGGAGGTGCAGCAGAGACCCGCCAAGCTTTCAGGCTGGTGCCCCACAGCTCCAGGAAGCTCTAAGGTCCCATTTCACAACTTATGCTCCCTCTAGCACTGTCAGCTGACACTTTACGCAAACGCTTGTTTATATCTGCAGGGGATAAAAACAGCTCACAGCGATGACATCTAAGGAGCTTTTCAGTCTACAAGGGAGGATAAAATAAAACTGAACTACAAGTCCAGGCTGCTCTTAGTTGCGGAGACAATTTGCTGCTTCTGACCTGAGGCGGCCTGGTAGTCAAGGGCCTAGAGACATAGGGGTCTCTGCCTCAGCACGTGCCGCAGGGTGCCTTGGGAAGAGGCTGTCTGTACACTGCTGCCAGAGCGGGGCTGAGGCTGAGGGTCAGAAACTCCTGCCCTCTCCTACTCCACTCTCGGCCTCAGCAGGCTAGCTCAGCACCATACTGGGTCACCGGGACCACATGTTCCTGCTCTCTTAAGTGGCCTGTGCCATTCTGCCCTCCCCAGAATGGTTCAGAAACTTGGCTCAGCTGAGGGTGTAAGTGGTCCCCGGAAATGGCACAGGGCACTTTTATGGGCCAATGTGGCCTCTAGCACCTCATCTGGAGGGAAAGGTCTTACTCTGATCATTAAAAAAAAAAAAAAAGGCAACCTGGATCTCCTTCTGCCACTTTTCATTTCCTTCATTAGGGCACCGATGATCTAGGTCTAATGTCAAACTGCAGCTGACAGCAGGAAAACCAGAACCGGAGGACCTCAGTTCCCCCAGGACCAGCTTAGGCCCTGCCGCTTGTCCGCATCACCACCTCACCATCTCACCATCACTAGGGCCTAGATACACAGCTCTGCGCAGCATTTTTTTTAACCTGTAAATAAGTGATGGGAGCCAGGAACCAACCACATATTCTGACCTGACTGTTGTGAGAAAACCCAAGAGCATGCTAATATATTAGCATGAGCTGACTGATAGCTACTAGTAGTGATTCTTAATAACACTAATAGTCCAGTACCTTCAGTGCCTTATTTACTTCTTTGATGTCTTCCATCTTCAGCTTTGACCTTAAAAAGAGAAGAGAGAAATTCACAGCCTCACTAAGAGGGACTTTCAAGCTCTCATGAAGTAAATCCACAATAACTTTTTGGCTTTGTGAGGGCAACAAGACTGTAAGAGAGGAACGTGATAACATGAGTTCTTATAGAATAACTTGTTTCCACCTTTTTTATAATCCCGGAGTCATCTCACTGTATTGGCTCATTTCTGGGGCAGTCTCGAGGCTGAGCCTCTGGACTGAATCTGACCCAAGATATAAACTATTGAGTTGCGGCAAGGATTTAAAAAGGCTTTGAAATAGCTGCAATCATTTAAAACACTGAGAATCACCTCATAAAAGCCCATGTTTCTGGCTTCTCCGAGCAACTACCCCCGCCTGTGGCGTGTGCGAGGAGCAGGTGCGCTCCCTCGTCAGGTGTGGGGCCCTCAGCGGCAGGCCTCTCACTGGACCCTTTCTTGCTGCCTGCTCTCTCTAGACTGGTTGTCCTTGTTCCATTCTCATTAGCTGGTGGAAGGACAATTCCTTAGTTCTCCACATAGAAGACAGGACCGAACACGGTCTAAAATGGCAGAGTTAAACCAGATAAAGCAAAACACTGTACATGTCAAAGCCCTTTTTTAAAAGCTGGGGTTAGCTTAAACTGTCACTGGATTAGTCTAACCTAACTGTCAGAAAGGCAAGGCTCTGAGTCACAGGTTAGACTTCTACGGAAGGATAAGGAAACCAAACATCAAAGCCTTTGAAAGAAAACACCCTGTGGCCTCCAGGAATGCTTGCAGGGGCTCCTCCCCTCCCCTGCCTGCTACAAGGCTACAGAAGCAGGCGAGTAGACAGACAGGGCCAGAGGCTGCCTGAGACGGGCAAGGTCAAGACGGTAGCCTCAACATACAAGAACTTCCCTGGGAAATACAATTTGAGAATCCAGATGTTCCCAAGATAAAACTGGGCACTTGTGTCTGCAGCTGGTGGAGGCATCTGAGAGTAGCTTTCCCGTCTCTGCCGTAAGGTGTGGGCTTGCAGGAAGAGGGGAGTGGGGAGGAGATGCGAGTCTGGCCGGCTCCACCGACACACCCCGCTGGGGAGGGCGCTGGCCGTGGGCTGGGCAGCAGCGCCTTTCCAAGGCCAGAGTCTGTCTGCTTTTCCGAGGCCTCTGCCTCACTGGGGGTGTGTCTCTGACTCCGCCATTTGTCCAATGTGAAGAGGACAGGCAGGAGAAGAAAGATGGGACTAGCCCTGTGAGAAGGGGGAGGGCGCCCTGAGGATGCCTCCCTCTCCCTCTCTCTAAATGCCACTCAAATCCAAGAAGCTAGCACCACGCCAGCTTCCACAGCTGGTTCTCAGCAGCCTCAGGGAGCCCTCAGAGCTGGCCGGGGCTCTGAGCGTGGGGCAGACAGCTGGCCTTGTCTGCTCTCCGAGGGCTCCCCTCAGATGGGGCCAGGAGCACGGCACACTCCGCCTGAGAGGGACCAGCGGCCCTGAGCTGGTCTAGAAAGATCCGGCGAGTGGGAGAGGATGGCAAATGGGCAGCATCTTCACGTTAAACTCCTGAAAAGACAACCTCCTTATCAGCCATAACATCCTTCCCTACACTGTTGTGGGCCAGCCCACCGCACTGCTGGAGACCTTCCAGCTTTGCAGACAGAAAACTCCCAAGCCTGTGCTCACACGTGCACTCCCTCAGTGGCTCTGGTTTCCTCTCCTGTGAGCCCCCATCTCTGGTCACAGCGTGCCCTGCGCCGGGCCTGAGCCGGCTCCGCTGCCCACTGAGCCTGCACCAGACTCAGGCGGGAGCCGTGAGTCCACCTGGGATCTCTGTGGATTGACGGGAAAGAGGAAGGCTCGTTTCTCTGACAGACAGCCCTGCTGGGCACCCGGGTGGGGCCAGACCCACTGCGAGGCGCGTGGCAGAGGAGGGAGGCAGACACGGACAGCTGGAGACTCTTTGCTTAAGCCAGTCTGAACTGGATTTCTGTCACTAGCCACCAAAAGAGTTGTGACTTGAGAAAAAGCTACCCACTTCGTTTAAAAATGCAACAGTCACACAAACGGGCAAGTCACACCGTCCACAGTGTGACCGAGCAAACTGTCCAGAGCAGCCTGGCAGGATTGGGACGCCAGGGAGACCTGTTCAGTCAGAGGGCAGACAGCGCCGCAGAGGGCACACTCCCGCAGCATCCCCGCTGGCGGCAGACAGACGGCCTCTGGCGGAGGCGAGCATACCGGCTCCAGGGAGGCACGTGGCGCCAGGCTTGTATTGTGGCAGGCCCACAGTCTCAGGCCACAGCACTTCCTCGAGCTAAACACACAACCCTCTATCACCTACCTGGTTCCCCTGGGACACAGACACTCAGTTTGTGACCGTGAGACCTCCGGTCACCACAAAAGGCTGTTCCCAATGAATTAATCAACCCAAACCAGTGCTGTGTCCTGAAGCCTGACTTCCTGGGCAGGGGCTTCCCCTTGAATAGCTGGCACGCCTCCCTGATTGCCCTTCCCTCCTTGGACAAAAGGACACAGGCTTGGGGCTCGAGGGATGCAGTGGGGAGGCTGGCGTGACCCTCTAGGGGGAGGTGGGCCCGGTGGCCCTGATGCGGGTGGCAGACAAGGGGAGTGGGTTTCTTACTGGCTGAGGTGCAGACCCATTTCCTGGAGGGCTTGTTCCTGCTCATCACAGATCTTCTGTAACTCTGCCTTCTCGTCCTGGAGCTCCCGCAGCTCCTAAAACAAACAAACCAGATGCCTGACACAGAACTCAAAGTCCTTTTTTTTAAAAAAAGGTTTAGTCATCACAGGGACAAGCAGCTCAGAATGTTTTTCTTTTTTTCCTTTTTTTTATTTTGGTCATGTTGCATGGCATGCAGGGTCTTAGTTCCCTGACCAGGGACTGAACCTTCACCCCTCTGCTGTGGAAGCATGGAGTCTTAGCCACTGGACCACCAGTGAAGTCGCTAGAATGTTTTGTTAAGAGCAAGCAACAGTTTTGTTGTATCAATCTCATTCACAACAGGGTTATTTCCAGTTTCTCTAGAATGGACAACTGGAAGGGAAGCGCTTCATGAGTGGCTCTGCAGTGTGGAATGTAGGGCAGGAAACATTCAAAACAGATTGGCACAGAGCAAAAAAAGTTTTTTCTGTTTCTGTTAAAAGACAGCTTTGTATCAGGGAAAGCTAGTTTAGGAATAAATTGTTTTTTTTGGGAAGAGCTGGTCAAAATTTTCTGAAAATAAATGAGCAAGGCTGATGAACGCCAAGATCTGGGATCTCCTACATGGCCCTGAGGGTGGCAAGCCCTTCCAGGGGCCGTGAGCCAAGGAGCGAAGCTCAGCAGGGACGATGCTGACGACTGTAAACTGGGGCTGGCGAGGGCAGAGACGAAGACCCGGAAAAGTAACTTGGGTTTTCCGGGCTGATCCCATGGCAAGCAGTAGGGCTTACGGCCTGAGTGGTGGGCAGGTCCCACTTCAGCCATCCCTGGGCCTTCTGCCCCGGAGACCGTTTAACACGGGCTCACAAGGGCATGCTAAGACTTCCTGGTGAGATTAGATACGCTGTTATGTTTCTTCTCCAGGGTGTGTGTAATTTGAAGTGAAGGGGGAGTGTTCCATCATGAAGAACTTTCTAGAAGTCCTTTCCTCCCATCTCTGAGCTTGAGTGGCTCCTGGAAGCTCTCTCCTCACTAGCAAGCCCCACGCTGGGCCTAGCAGGCTCTCCCATGAGGGACTCTAGCTACTTCCCAATAGAAATCAAAGGGCTTTTATCTCAGACTGCAGTGGTGCCCATTACTGTGCTCAATGAGACAAAACCCGTGTCTGGGAACCGCCCCAGCGGCACGGGAAGGCCGTGTGGGGCCGCCAAGCCCTCCCTTCCCTGCCGTCACATGCTGGGCACGCAGCCCTCCTCTCTGGCCTTGCACTGGGACAGCCCCTCACACTTCCGGGCGGCTCTGCATGGCTGGCCCTTGCTCACCACTCAGTTCTCTGCTTAACCATCTCTCTTCCCAGGCCACCCTCCAGCCCGGTGTGGGGACACGCTCCTCTGTGCTCATCTTCACCGCCCTCATCACTGAGTCTCTCTGGTCTGCTCGCTGGCTTATGATCTGTCTTTGCTTTTCCCCCGGAAGCAGAGGCTCTGAGGATGTGGGAACAGTGTCCCAGACCCGGAGCCGGCGAGTGCACAGCAGGGACGGACTCTGCAGCCGCAGACTGAAGAGTCACGCGTGCGTCTCACTTGCTGGCTGGGAGACTCTTGGGCAGGAGTTTCTGGAGATCTAGAAGCTCTTTTTCTACCCAAGACAGTCCATCTTACCTTTTTTAATCCTTCTACTTGTTGTAGCTCTGCTCGGAGCAAAGAGGAAGTGTCTTTCTCACGCTGTAACTCTCGCTGAAGAGCTTGTCTTTGTTCTTTTTCTGATTTCAGCTCTTTCTCTAGACTTGCACTGTGTTTGCACAGTGAACTTGAGTTAGTCTCAATGAGCAATCTTCATGGAAACGCACAATCCACAACCCAAGTCACCACATAAGAAACAGGGGATTCACAGCAATCTGAATTGTGATGTGAACATACAGACCCTTCCACAAAGCATTGAAATAAGGCTCCCTTTCCTCCCAGGGCCATCTGCACCTCCATAAGAAAGACCAGGAACACGTCAAGGAAAGCAGGCACAGGCACACATTTGACAGTTACACAAACGGAAAGGGAGGAAAAGAGCTCTAACACTTGTGGCTGCACACACAGAACCTACTACTGAGATGGAGACATTTATTCTGCAACATTTATCCTGCTTTTTAAAGGAGCCAGCTACCAGTGGTGGATACTGGGGGGCTGGGGACAAGGAAAAAGCTACTAAGGGGTGGCAGTGAGTTTCAGTTGAATCCTGATGCCTTTCTCACCAGCTGAGTAGCCTTGGGGACTATACTGAGCCCCCATGAAGTCATTTTTCCCATTTGGGAAGCGGGGAATAGACACCGCATCTCTCCTAATCCTAACCCTAGCCTTGCAGGGGTCACCTGTGAAGTGGGACACTGTCTGCCCCACTTGGGAGATGGCCTCCCCAGTCCCTGCCACACCACGAAGCCACCTGCTGCCTCTGGGGTTCCTACCACTGCTCGTGCAGCTGGGCAAGCTGCTGCTGCAGGGCGCTGCTCCTCCCGCCGAGCTCCTGATGCAGCTTGCGGCTCCGCTCCTCGGCCCCCTGCCTCGCCCTCTCTGAGAGCTGTAACCTAGACCAAAGGGACCAAATACTTGTAAGGAAAGGATCACTCCTCACACTGACCATATGATTTCTGCATAGCCTTGCTAGCTTTTTTTTATTTTTAAAAATTAATATATGATAAAATTGACTCCTTTGTGTGTATAATTCTATGAGTTTTTAGCATAGGCATAAATTCATGTAAGCATTACCTCAATCCATTCTAACAGGTGACATAAACTATTTCCATCACCCCACAAAACGCCTTAGCACTGCCCCTTTGAGTCACACCTCTCCACCCCAAATGTTATATATTAAAACACAGAATTATATTTCACAAAATCTTTTGAGACTGCCTTCTTTCTTTCAGCATATCTTTGAGGTCAATCCAAGTTTTTGTGTGTATTAGTGGTCATTCCTTTTTATGGCTGGGTAGAATTTCATTGCGTAGATGTCCCGTTTATCCATTTGCTTGATGAAGGACATCTGAGTTGCTTCTAGATTTTGGCAATTATGAATAGAGATGCTATAAGCATTTGTGTACAGGATTTTTTTGTGAACATGGGTTTTCACTCCTTTTGGGCAGTCAGGAATGGGATTATTGGATCATATGATAGGAGTATGTTTGGCTTTTTTCAGAGACTATTTTCCAAAGCGCATTCCCACTAGTAATGTATGAGTGTTCCGCTTGTTTTGTAGCCTCACCAGCATCTGGTACTGTCATTAAAAAAAGATTTAATTGTTCTAATAGGTGTGCAGTGGTATCTCATTGTAATTTTAACATGTACTTCCCTAATGGCTAATGCTGAACAATTTTTTTAAATGAAAATATAGTTGATTTTGGAAGAAAAGTTATGACCAATCTAGATAGCATATTAAAAAGCAGAGACATTACTTTGCCGACAAAGGTCCATCTAGTCAAAGCTATGGTTTTTCCAGTAGTCATGTAGGGATGTGAGAGTTGGACCATAAAGAAAGCTGAGTGTCCAAGAATTGATGCTTTTGAACTGTGGTGTTGCAGAAGACCCTTGAGAATGCCTTGGACTGCAAGCAGATCCAACCAGTCCATCCTAAAGGAGATCAGTCCTGAATATTCACTGGAAGGACTGATGCTGAAGCTGAAAGGCCAATCCTTTGGCCACCTGATGTGAAGAACTGACTCACTGGAAAAGACCCTGATGCTGGGAAAGACTGAAGGCAGACTCTTATACACTGGACTGCCAGGGAAGTCCCTGACCTGATCTAAATGTGAGCTCACCAGATAGTTCTGACTCCCTGAGAAGTCAAAGTGATATAGTAGCCCAAAAGTTGAATAACTGAATACATGCTTAGGGAAAACTCGGGAATCCAGTCCCCTTTCCGGGCAAGACTAAAGACCTGAAGGAAAGTCATTCCAACATGTCTATACTTTTGAGAGAGACTCTGAGTAAGTCTCCAGGCTCAGACAATGCCTAATACCTTCTAGGGAATATCTGCCAGGAGGAAGCGTTTACCTTTCTTCTATTTGTTTCATGCTGGACATGACTTGATTGGTTTTTTCTTCAAAAGATGTAATGGCTTCATTCTTCTGTTGTAAACTGCTCTCTGCATTCTATAAAAGCAAGGAAAGAGGGTCATTTTCTGCTTCTGTCTCTACCCCCCTGCCTGTTCTGGATTACAAGAGGGTTCAACTGTTCTCTTTGTACTTTTTTAATAATACTTTCAGAGTGTTTCATTAATTGCTGCTCTTCACTAGAGCCCTGGAAGACAAACTAGGTCAACGCATCCAGTGTCATCAACATAAAGAAGGGCAGAGGGGGAATTTCCCAGTGGCCCGATGATTAGGACTTGGCATTTTCACTGCTGTGGCCTGGGTTCAGTCCCTAGTTAGCGAATTAAGATCCTGCAAGCCATGCAGAGTGGCGAAAAAAAAAGGCAGAGAGGGAGGTAATGAAGCCCTGTGTTTGAACAGGCCGAGTCCCTTTTTGAAAAGGAACTTCAGAGTCAGATCTGACTCAACACTGCTGAGCCTTCTCGTGTGCCAGGCACCTCCATGAGTTCACGAGTCCTGCAGGGTTCTCACGATGGGCACTGTGAGCCCCCACTGCTCTGAGCAAGAGAGGGAGGCTCAGAAGTGGCAAGCACCTTGGTAAAGGTCACAGCACAAGTGCGGTGCAGCTGGGTCCATACCTACACCCATGTGACCTTCTCAGCCCAAGCTTTTAACTGTGGCAGATGCTGAGTGACCAGGAGGCAGCAAAACAAACAAGCAAACATGTTTCTGTGTGTCTACAGGAGACACTCTTAAATACAAGGAGACAGAAAGACTGAAGACAGAAAGAAGCACTGATACATTCCTAGCAATACATAGACTGTATTTTCTCGCTTTAGCGTAATAAAACTAGATGTAAGCAACGAAAGAATAGCTGAACACCTCACATCTGGAAATGGAATAGCATATTACTAAAATACACTGAGCTAAAAAAAATCAGAAGAGAAATTATGAAATACTTAGAGCTGAAAGACAATGAAAACACTGCAGAATTTCATTACATTGAAGATGCATCCTAATTTTATATACCACTAAGAAAGGAAAAAACTGCTACTTGAAATGCACCATGACATTGACTATAAGACGTGTCTCAATTTCCGAGATGACAGATATGAAAAATATGCTTTTTATTGGGTTTGCCATTAAGGTACTTTGGTTTTTAGGTAAGAAATAAAAGACACATTTTTCAACAAGAACTTTACGCTATTTTGTTCCACTACCTTCTGCCATTTTTCAGGCGACTTCATATTCCATCTTCCCCAAACTTTTTATCTTTTTGAGCAAAGAAGTGTTGCAGGTGCCTTTTATATTCTTCCAAGTAACTGAATTTTTTTCAGTGAAGAGAATTTTGTAAAGATTTAAATAAATGGAAATCCAAAGGTGCAGTGTCTGGTGAATACAATGCACAAATCAGAACTTCCCAGCCCGGGACTTCCCTGATGATCCAGTGGCTGAGAGCCCCATGAAGGGGGCCCAGGTTTGATCCCTGATCAGGGAACTAGATACCACATGCTGCAACTAAAGATCCAGCATGCCACAATTAAGACTTGGCACAGCCAAATAAATAAATAAAACCAAACAAAACCCTATCTTTTTTTTTTTCTATTTAAAAAAGAAGAACTTCCCAGTCAAGCTGTAACAGTTTTTGCCTGGTCATGAAAGAAACATGTGGTCTTGTGTTATCCTGATGGAAGACTATGTGTTTCCGTTGACTAATTCCAGACACTTTTCATCAATAGCTGTTTTCAGTTGGTCTAATTGGGAGCAGTATTTATTGGAATTAATCATTTGGTTTTCTGGAAGGAGCTCATAATAGGGGACTCTGTTCTAATCCCACCATATATACAACATCACCTTCTTTGGATGAAGACTTGCCTTTGGCGAGGTTGGTGGTAGTTCATTTTGCTCAGCCCACAATCTCTTCTATCCTATATTATTGTACAGTATCCACTTTTCGTTGCCCTTCACAATTTGTTTTTAAAAAGGAGTGTTTTCATTATGTTTCAGTAGAGAATGACACATGGAAATACGGTCAAGAAGGTTTATTTTGCTTAACTTATGTGGAACCCAAGCCATTAAAATGATTAACATAACTAAGGGGGTGCAAATAATTTTCAACACTTAATTTGGATATTTTAAGTATGTCAGCTCTCTCTCATGTAGTTTAACACTGTTGTCAATTGATGTCTTGATTTAATCTCTATTGACTTCAACAGGTCTATCTGACTGGGGAGCATCATCCAGCAAGAAATCTCTAACATGAAACTTCACAAACCACTTCTGACACAATTGACCAGCACTTTCTCCACACACTGCACACATACATGTTTTTGCATTTCAGTTGCATTTTTACCTTCTTTGAAATAATAAATAATAACAATATGCCAAAAATGCTTTTTTCCTTCCATCTTCAATATTAAAATAGCTTTACAAAAATTCACCAATTTTGCTAAGTTTTTTGAAAATGCAAGCTGATATGACAACTGTCATGATACAATCTAACAAAACTGTTTTGAATGAAGTTAAAGACTAAATGTTGTGAGAGCTGTCTTATGGAAAAAACCAAACAAACCTTTTGGCCAACCCAATCAATGAAATACTTTCATCAAAATTTGAGTGTCATTAAAGCAGTGAAGTGAGGTTGCTGAGTCATGTCCAACTCTTTGTGATCCCATGGACTGTAGCCCACCAGGTTCCTCTGTCCATGGGATTTCCCAGGCAAGAATACTGGAGTGGGTTGCCATTTCCTTCTCCAGGGGATCTTCCCGACCCAGGGATCACACCCGGGTCTCCCACACTGCAGGCAGACTCTTCACTGCCTGAGCCACTGCGGCAGCCTAGCTAAAGCGGGGCATGTGGGCAGTTGTAAACTTTTAGACTGCCCTGGTGGTATAGACGGTAAAGAGTCTGCCTACAATGTGGGAGACCCAGGTTCGATCCCTGGGTTGGGAAGATGCTCTGGAGAAGGAAATGGCAACCCACTCCAGTATTCTTGCCTGGAAAATCCCATGGATGGAGGAGTGTGGTAGGCTACAGTCCATGGGGTTGAAAAGAGTCGGACACGACTGAGTGACTTCACTTCAAATAAAATATTTAATGAAATAAAAAATAAAATAAAACAGATGAGCTGAGTATGCATTTCAGAAGCTGAAAATGAGCCACAGAGTAAACCCTAAGAAATAAGAAAGAATATAATAAAAGTGAAGGTAGAGATCAATGAAATAAGAAACAATAACAGTACACAATAAGGAATATTAGAAAACAAGCCAGTTCTTGAGAAGATTATTAAAACAGACACAATTCTGGCAAGATTAGATAAAGAAGAAAGACAGAAAATGCAATAAGAAAACACTGAATTAAAGAGATTTAAAAAATCTGCAAAAGAATATTATAAACAATTATGAGCTAAAACACTTGAAAACCTAAATAAGATAAGACACATTTTGGGAAAAAGTATAAAATATACCAAAATTGGTCTGAGAAGAAATGGAAAATATGAATAAACCAGTAAGCATTCAATAAATTGAAATGGCAGTCATAGTCTCCTTGACCCAAAAAGCCCAGCCCGGATGAATCCTATAACATGGATGGGATTCTCAAAACTTTTGGAGAACAGATACTTGCTATCTGATAAGAGTTACTTCTAAGAAAGAGAGCAGGAAACCTTATTTTACAGTACCAGTCCAACCATGATTTTGAAGCCAAATAAGGTTAGTAATAGGAAAGAAAGTTAGAGGTCTGTCTCATGTATAAACATACATATTAGCTACATATTTAAATATGTCACAATCAAGTAGGAATCCAAGAATGCAAATCTATAAATTGCCACATAAATAAGGGAGAAAAAAAAAATAAGGGAGAAAAAGAACTGTTCTATCACAATAAATAAAATGCAAAAAAGCCTAAAACATTTAATAAAGTTCAATATTTATTTATTGAGAAAAATCTCTGAGCAAACAAGAAATAAAGAAGAACTTCATGGACTTCTCTGGGGGTCCAGTGGTTAAGAATCTGCCTGAAAATGCAGGAGACACGGGTTCCATCCCTGATCACAGAAACTCACTCATGCCATGAGCAACTGAAGCTGAGCGCCACACCGCTGAGCCTGTGCTCGAGAGCCCACGCACCGCAGCTGCGGAAGCCCACAAGCCCCGCGCGCCACGACGGGAAGCCACTGCAGTGAGGAGCCTGTGCTCCACCATCAGAGCAGCCTCCGCTCCACGCGGCGAGAGGGAGCCCATGCACAGTAACGTAAATAAATTTAAAAAAAAAAGAGCTTCTCTAATTCAGTAAAGATTCTACACCAACCATCCAGTGAGCACTACTCTTGATGGGGAAAGCTTTTTAAAAGAACAGTTTTGTTTATCTGGTTTTGGCTGTGCTGGGTCTCTGTTGCCGTGTGGCTTTCCTCCAGTTGCGGAGAAGAGGGGCTACTCTCGAGCTGCGGGGCGCAGGCTCTGGGCGTGTGGGCGTCAGTAGTGGTGGCTCCCAGGCTTCAGGGCACAGGCTTAATAGTTGTGGCACACGGGCTGAGCTGCTCCGAGGCATGTGGGATTTTTTCCCAATCACGGATGGAGCCCGTGTTTCCTGCACTGGCAGGCGGATTCTTTACCACTGAGCCACCCGGGAAGGCCTGATGGAGAAAGTTTTACATGCGTTACTTTTTTTTTTTTCATTTATTTTTATTAGTCGGAGGCTAATTACTTTACAATACTGTAGTGGGTTTTGTCATACATTGACATGAATCAGTCATGCAGTTACATGTATTCCCCATCCCGATCCCCCATTACTTTTAAGATCAGAATCATAAGTCTGCTCACTATTTCTGTTACTGTTTAATGTAGTCATGGAGGCCAGTGCTAAAAGAAACAAAAAATAATGGGTACAAGACTTGAGAGTGAAGAGACTAAACTGTCTTTATTTGCCTACAGTATGATTAATTACCACCAACAAGATCAATAGACAAACCATCAAGAACTAGGTGGTGGGTGGGGAAGGCTGTCAAACACAAGATCAACCTATAAAGCACAAAAGCACTTCTCCATGTTAGTAAGACCTCA